TCAACCTGTTATTAATGAATGCCTACAGTACTCGTTGCTATGTCGAGTGAGACTCGGGCAATCTTTCAGGCTATCAAGAACAAACTTTGTTTAAAAGGTTAAAAGTCTGCATGAAGTTTGAAATGTTAGTACAGCGGTCTATTGATATATCCCGCTGTCCGGTAAGTTTTGCGAGACAGCTTACGAGAAGGAAATTCAACATGAAGCATCAAAACATGTTGACAACGAAAATGTTCTTGACAATAAAACCTCTTCAAGTCAACTCATAATGAAATTTGTCTACGGGAGGCCTTGCTGACACCAGTACCCTCCCTTGCTTATTTATCAAATTTCATTTATTACCACGCGGTAAGATATACGCTCACATAAATATCTAATTATTACCTATGACATTTCGAGAATCAAAATGACTGATTTGGAAGGCAATAAACCCCCACAGTTCATACAAGATTCATTTTCTATACCTTCAATTAAAATAACTCCGCGCATTACTCTCACTGGGCGTTTAAATGCTTATTACCTCGCATTATTTGATTCGCCACAACCAAATTGCCGCAGCGACCTCAGGAAAATAGAAGAAAAAGAAATGCAGACAATAATCGTTCTTATTGGCAAAGATATGAACCATTATCGAGCATTTAGAGAGTTTACAGGTAAAAAATGAGGGCGTATGTTTCTTTGGCGTTTCCGGTACAATTTCCTCTCGCCGACGATGACGATTATTGGTATGGTTTGTTAGTCTTACACCGCAGACGTATTCTCGTTTTGTGAACTAACAATTTTCACTAATTTTCCATCTTTACGTTTTCCTAATAGCCTAAATGTATTGCTTGTTTCTAGACAATTTTGTTATACAAATGTTCTTATTAATTCCAGCTGTATTTGCCATTAATCCCAAACGTCATCTTCTCTGCCTGTCTCCCCATCGCTTTCTAACCAATACCCTCTTCCAATACATTTTTACTATGATCGTCCAAACCTTTCTATCTTTTTTTTTGAAATGACAATGATACATACAAGAGATCAATCTACAGTTAGATAAACATGGATATAAACAATGGATGCCATAATGATGGGTATTTACTTTTAGTTGTCGAAAGAGTAGGCCTATTTGTAAACATGAAAATTAGTCACAGATACAGTAATTAGCAAGGATCGGACCCAAGGCGTCTTGTATGAGAGTCAAGAGTCAATATTGCACTGCCCCCACACAAAACCTTATCAAGAAATTACAAGTGTATGTTTGTCCAGCTCTCAATGAAAAAGTATTCATATTGTAAAAAAATGGAGACTTTCATGAGTTGTCATTATAATAGATACCATATTTCTAAAATTCTAAAGATACCATGTCTCGAATTGAAAGACTACTCACTCCCCTGCTTAAACCATTGGCAGTTATTAGCAGTTAATTCATGCGCACAAGCCTTTTTTAATGCGAGCAACTTCGGAGCTGCTCCAAAACAATAATTTCATCTATTCAATTCCAACCAACAATATATCCTGCATCGTATACCCAATAAGCATTCCATAAACCTCGCTTCGATTCGAAGACAATAATGCGCTCGCTCGCGCATGCTCTAATATGCATACAAGGCTAACACATGGAAGCATTGTCATTTTCTCTCACAATTTCTACCCGTTTAATTCGCCCCCTTTTGGTTATTATTCCCTTTAAACAAAATAGATATATCGTTTGCGTCCCCGGCAACCTTCAGAATTTCAGAATTCATATATATTGCTCTCCTTATCCTTAGTTTATTTTCCGATTCGTATTTTTGTGTCGATGATAGTATGAAAAGCGGCGAGGGTTCAGAAGGGGGGAACTTTAATGAGTTTTTAAAAATTTATTTCGGAAAGAAATTCGAAATGTGAGGGAGATTTGAGCATTTTTGTATTATACATGGAGAGGGGGAGAGAGAGAGAGAGAGAGAGAGAGAGAGAGGGGGGGGGGGGGGTCTACAAAATAAATAGAGATATAATACATGACATTGTACACAGACACGTATGCACACAATGTAGAGAGATATACAGAGAGAGATAGAGAGAAGGAGAGAGAGAGAGAGAGAGAGAGAGACAGAGACAGAGACAGACACACAGACAAACAGACAGAGAATAATTATTTTCCTCGTCTTCAAGAAACCTGCTAATTAAGGAGCTGTTGCTACTTCTATTTCTAAAAGTCTGTACAATGATTCATAGATAACAATGAGTCTGGTGTGGAAATATATACTCTACAACCACTTTGATTTAATATTTTTGAATTGGGTGGGGGCAATGAAAACAGAAATGTATAATGTCATTTTGCTGCGTCAGCGATTGACGTTGTCTCTGACGCATTATGAGAGTGTCATTGTAGCCCCAAAATGAGGTCGAAATGTGCAATCAAAACAGCACGTTTAATGACTGACAATTGAGATTATATAACTCAAAGTAATGATTGACGCAGGTAATGTCGCAAGCGAAATGACACTTCGTGAGCAAAGGGCATATAATGGTCAATTGCGCTTTTTTGATTACGCCTCCTCTTTCAATTTTTACATCGCATCTCAGGCTACTGACGCATGGGATCATTTTTTTCTCCACAATTTTTGTTTAATGATTCCAAAACAATACAACTCGTTCTTAGAAATACAGTTGTTTTTCATCTTGACATGATTCAATACATAGATAATACACACCAAAGGCTTGATTGACGCAGGTATAATAACGCAGTCGAAACGACGCCCCGATCAAAAGAGTCATTCGCGCATGTTGATCATGCTTGCATCAATACGGTAAATTTGATCGTACTCCACCATAAGCATTAATATATATATTATCATTCGTTAAGTGAACGGGTTAGAACTACGAAGAGAAAGAAGGCAGTACGTTGAAATAGAAATCCTGGTTCATCCAGAGCAAAAAAAAAGCAAGCGTTTATTGAACACATCTTTTCGTATTCTGCTTACCTGTATATGAAATATTTGATCGCATTCCATTACAAGCACTAAGCAATATTAATTATAACAGATAACAAAGAAGTTTGACTTTAAACTGAAAACAATGCTTTATTCAATACAAGATAAAGCAAGAAAGCAGTCGCGTTCGTTGTACACCCATCCTGTATGTCACTTTGCATCTACTTCAAGTTTGACCTTATGACATTGCAAGAAACGATTTTACAATTCAGCTCGCATACTGGCGAGAAAGATAAAGAGAAAAAAAAATGGAAAGAGGAAGAGAAAGAGGAAAAGAAAGAGAAAGAGGAAGAGGAAGACAGAGAGAGAAGAAGGTCTATTTTTAAATGGAATTACGCTTCCCATCGCAAAGCGAACTAAAGTAAGTGTCATTCGAATTCATTGAATACACCCGCTCGCCGTATTTTGCTCTGCCTCTTTGCATCTACGGCAAATCACCGAAAGACTAGAAAGAACATTGTTATCTTTCATTCAGTCTACGAGACAGAAAAGTAAGCAAAAAGGAAGTCTTGCTTCATTTAAAGCAAAAAGTAATAATAATTAACGATTATTAAACACACTTCTCGTATTTTACTCCCATCTACATCTGTAAATTTGTCCGTATTTTACAGTAAGCATTAAACGATTGTTATCATTCATACAGTAAACGGCCTAAAAGAGAAACACACAAAAAGTTTTACGTTAAACTGGATACATTGCTTTACTCCAAACTAAGCGAAACAAGAACCAGTCGCGTTCATTGAACACGCCTTCACTAGGAATCTATACACTACAAGTTTGACCGCGTTCCATTACAAGCATTAAACGCTTCCTACCATTCATGCTCGCGTACGGGCGAGAAAGAGATTGACTTTTAAATATTGATATCAGATAAAATCTGACACCCTCCACATAAAACAATCAATGTTATGAACAGGTGACCATATACAGCCTACACTACATCCAGCTATCGATGATCAATTGGAATCGAAAACGATATGAAGGGTAGATTTCGATCCGTATTGAGCCGGAAAAAACGATCTCTTGCCGTGATTTTTTTCCTCGTAATTCTTCCTCTCTGCTTGTTATTGCGACGTGTGAATGAGATAGTACATGCTTATACAAGCTATGGGAGTGGCAACAGTAAAGTGAATAGCATTTTCTATTGGAATTTAGATGATTTTAGGATGAAAATGTGAAATGTTTGTCAAGTTATATTCACTGAAGATCTACGTTATCAAATAAGGAATAGTATGGATAGTTGCTGCATAATAAAATTAAAAACCTGTTTGTTTAAAGTAAAGGTTTAAGGTTGTAGGTAAAAGGTTAGTAGAGTGGAACATTCCAAGTGTGTAGAGTTCACAAAATGTTATTCGTGCTATCACGCAGGAGAAGCAACATAAAAACAACATCAACAACAAAGACAACAGCAATGATAAGAATAATAATGATAATAATAACGATAATACAATTCATACAAATCATAACAAACAGAAAAAACAGCAGCAGCAGCAACACTGACAACGAGAACAACAACCACGCGACACCAGTGGCAACGGGAACAACAACTACTCCGAATAAGAATATTTAATGAGAAGGTAACGCTTATCGCTCAGTGAACAAGAAAAGTTCTGCAAGATTTATCAACCATAGAGCACATTGTTGCTTTATGCTCATTAGCTATAAGGTTAGGTATTATCAAATGTTGTTGTATGATATATTTAGGCCTGATTGTTACAAACCTAGTATACATCTATAATATTTAGTGAGACCTTGAACGCGTTGGAGTAATGGAATAATTTACATCATATATATTTGTATTTATACACACATTATTATGTGTGTGTGACTTCTCTTGCCCTCTCTATATCTCTCTCTAATGTGTCCCTTGCCCCCTCTATCTTTCTCTTTCTCTCTCTCTTTTTCTCTCTCTCTCTCTCTCTCTCTCTCTCTCTCGCTCTCTCTCTTTCTCTCTACATTATAGACCAAAACGCACTCGTTTGCCGTTTGGGACATTCTGTTTGGATTTAGTTTTGACAAGGGGGGGGGGGGGGATGTTGGCAGATGTTGACCTTTTATAGCCCCCTATTATTTCCTTTATTTTCAACATCTCTCTCTCTCTCTCTCTCTCTCTGTCTCACCCACACTCACACCCACACACACCATTTACAGTTTGTGAGTTTATTGGTCTGGTTTCGTTAAGAAAAAAAAGGGGGGATGGTTGTCAGGTGTTGACCTTTCATTCGCCCCTACCCTTAGCCCTTTACTTATTTTCTACATCTCTCTCTCTCTCTCTCTCTCTCTCTACCTCTTTCTCTGTTTTGTTCTCTCTCCGTCCCTGTGTGACATGTGGTCTTATGAGACATGTGGTGGCTATCGATCGCTGACAAAACCTATCGATTGGAAATAGCTGCGTGAAGGCTGGCGATCGATAGCGCCACAGTGAGCCCCGTAAAAATACCGCCACATGTTCGTCGAAGAAAACAAAGCGCAACAAAAGGGGGAATTCAATTCGAATAGCGGCGAACAGACTTCATGAATATTTGATGTCGGGATTAAAGGCAAATCCGCTTGTTATCCTCCGAAGAACTACAAAGTAATTTTTGAGGGATGAAGGGGAAAGCTGTTTATTAGGGGGTCTAACTGTAAAAAAGTTTGGGAGATTAGGCGCCCCTAAGCGGATTGGTAACAAGCAAAAGTGAACGCAACGCAATCAACATTCCGTTACCTAACTGAAAATATGGAAGGATAGTTGACAGGGTATTACAATTAGAGAAGAGATTACCCACCAGCTAACACAGCAAGTTGACAGAGGCGCAATTTATTTCTGCCAATTCCATCTACAACAATCAACTTCTGACGCTTGTCATGTATTTTTGTAATTATTACCTGCCGTCTCCATTCCTCCATACCTTTCTATAATTTCTCTGATAGATTGATAGTTACTATTTATCATACAACTCTTTTTATCCCATTCTTGTCCCTTTTTTGAGCTTGCTACCATGTACTTTATCATCCAATTTGCCATATCAGTTCCAACATTTGAAAGTATCATGTTTCAGTGTTTTCCGTATATTAATCATTAATCTTAAATCCGTAATGTAAGCTCTAATAATATATTGTGTTACATGTGTATACATCAACGAAGATAAGCTAACACCGTAACAAAAAACAAGAAGAAAACGCAAACCTACTTTTGTGGTGTTGTTATTAGATATTGCAGAGTAAAGTCGGATTCTAAATGCTAATTAATGTTTCCTTGGAATTCATAAAGCTTCAGGATCATTTGCAAAAATATCTACCTTTTGGATTAAAATTTGAAATTGAAGGGGAACTGAACATTAGTTCCTAATCAAGGGGGATTATAAGGTTACACACTTTAAGGAGAAGGTTCAGTATTGGGAATGATGAACACTAGTTTGTGAGCTTTGCCATTCTTTTTTTTTTTTTTTTTATTTATTTTTATTTATGTTTTTATTAAACAAATCATCAAGAATCACAATATTTACAAAAGATTTACATGATAAGAATATAAAATCTTTGTATGTTCTTGATAGAAGAGTATCATAAAAGAAAATGTTAGCTGAAAATGATGGCTCTCCAAACGCCCTCAAATTCGGGAATATGACAAGGTTGTGGACTACACTTTCATGTTATTTAATGTTTGTGTAGTCCATATTCACATTTCTGTGTACGGTGCTTGTGACTATAAATAACAAGGCTTGGCCAATTTCTTATCATATCGATGATTACAAAACCTCACAGTATAATGCTTATGTGGTACAAGATCAACCTAAACTCATCAACTTCAACATAGTTTCTGTCATTATACAATAGCATTATATTTAAAAATGAACTTTTACTTTTTAAACAATTTTGTCGAATAGTCAAAGAATGCTAGATATTTTATTAGATAAAAGCTGAGGAAGTATTGACAGCTGACTGACAGCCAATACAAAACTAAGAGATTTAGGCTTATATCTCTGGCATGCGTATATAGAATATCATTGATGTACAATGTCCATGATATCAAAATACATTTTTCTGACCTCTCTTTCATAAAAAAGTTGTTATCTCCTCACAACTGTACTGTTCAACTTTTATTGATGAATCTTTTCTTTTCGTTAAAGCTCTGAGAAGGTATTAACATTATCTAACAAGAATATATAAATGACATTGCCAAATTCATTTCATGTAAAGAGGTAACAAAAAAGATCCCAACTTCATGAAAAAAGAGTAAGTATAATCAAACAAAGAAAGAAGAAGAAAGAAGAAGAAGGAGAAGAAGAAGACTAACTACATTCAGAAGTAGAACAAAAAGAACAAGATGACGAAGAAGAGGAGGAGGAGGAGGAAGAGAAGACTAAGAAAAAGAAAAAACAAGAAGAAGAAGAAGACGGAGGAGGAGGAGGAGGAAAATGAGTTGTACAAAAGGGAAAAAGCAAGAAGAAGATGACGATTCTGATTGGAAAATGGGACGGAACCCTTTTTTTCTTCTAGTTTCTACAAAAAAGAAAATCCATTGAAGTTGTATTCCATTACAAAAACTTGCAATGGAAGGCAAAACAAAATAAGCAAACAAACATACAAACAAAACAATATGTTCTTATCTCATGACAAATCCTTGCAGGAATTTTTTACCACAGTTGTTATTTCTTTCCCAAAGTAGATGGCGATATTTCATGAAAAAGAAAAGGAGAACATCACATGTAGAGAAATCTTTGCTCGTTAATCACTTCCCCAGTAGATGGCGCTGTTTAACATCAAAGCATTGCAAGCATCGGATATCAACGACGCCGTTTTTCTGTAGCGCATAATTACACTCTGATTTAACGTCTGTTTTGGCGCTTCCATTGGACTTTGGACTTTATTGTAAGTATCAATCGCTCATGATCCCTGTCCTGTAGTGACCTTATCCGGTATTAAAGCAGAATAGAGACCTTTCTCCTATTCAGATTAGGGCAAATGGAATAAAGTCTTAGTTTCTCGTACACTCCTTTCCTTTTATTGTTCAGCCCACCTCCTTCCTTTTCCTTTTCCATTTTCTATTTGTACTTCTAAGTTGATACCAACACGAATATAAGGATAACAAATTATAATAAATAATTTAATTTTATGTTGAGTTTCTGTTTAATTCGTTGGAATTAAGCCAATGCAATTTTGTACGTACGTAAAAGATTACTAGAAATTGAAATGGCACCCTACTTCATCATAGAAAATTCCCAATGAGAAACAAGGAATCAGCCTGATTTGGCCTGGTAAATGATGGGGTGTGGTGGTGAAGGCGTGAAGGTTAAATTAATTAATCGTGCACACATTCATTTATCTCGTCGGTTAGCCAGTTTTTCATTCATCCATTCATTCATTCATGCATTAATTTTCCTCAAGCGACAAACGAAAATAAATTCTAAAGTACTTTTCTTGGCGAGATGGAATAAATCACTCGTGTTGAGAGTCTTGCAGCTGATTAGACTACGCCATGACCTCTATTCGTGTAAAAACCAATCTGTTTCCTGGTTTCTGCTGTTACTGAATAGGCAAATTAAAAAGATTCATTTATTCATTTACTTATTCATTCATTAAGTCACTTTTTCACTCTTTCATTATTTCATTCATTACTTCGTTCATTCATTCATTCATATATACATTCATTCATTCATTCATTCATTCATATATACATTCATTCATTCATTCATTCATTCATATATACATTCATTCATTCATTCATTCATTCATTCATTCATATATACATTCATTCATTCATTCGTTCATTCATTCATTCATTCATTCATTCAATCACTCGTTCATTCATTCATTAACTCATTTACTCATTCATTCATTCATTCACTCATTCGTCCATTAATTCATTCATTCATGTATTCACATACTCATTCACTCATTCATTCATTCATTCAATCACTCACTCATTCATTCATTAACTCATTTACTCATTCATTCATTCATTCAATCACTCACTCATTCATTCATTAACTCATTTACTCATTCATTCATTCATTCATTCACTCATTCGTCCATTAATTCATTCACACATGTATTCACATACTCATTCATTCATTCATTCATTTTCCTTTTTAGGAGCAACAAACGAACGAGAGCCTTTTTTTGCTTGTCTTTACGAGATGAACTTATGTTTGTTGAGAGTCTAAAACCGGCCAAGAGTGTCCGTGACCTCTATTATTTTGTGTAAAAACAAGTAAAATCTGCTTCCTGGTTTGTGATGTTACTGAATACAATGATTAATTGTCCATCCATTTCATCATCCATCCATCAATTAATTAACCAAGTAATTAATTTATTCATACATTCAATCGTTCATTCATTTAGTTTCCTTTTAAGGAGGGACAAACGAAAATAAATTATATATTGCTTTTCTATGCGAGACTACAACACTACCATGGACAAGACTACGCATGACCTCTGAACGTTTCAAATCCGCTCCGTTTCCTGGTTGGTGTTGATACCATAATAGGGACTTTTAGATTTGCGTGGACTGATACGTGTGACGTCCATTCAAGGCAGTGCATTAAAAGGACGTCGATCGCAGCAATCCACAATGGTCGTTGTGCAAATCTAAAAGTCCCTAATATGCGTACGTGTAGTAAGACACTGTTTCCTGGTCTACATGATAACCGTCAGATGCGATTGTTTTCCGGGTCGCAATCCCGGTCGCGAACTCCCGCAACAAGCCAGACTTTTCCCTGTTGATCTGTGTTTTTTGTTCGATTGCCTGTTTTTTTGTTGTTGTATTGTATTGTATTTTTTGATTGGGTTGTTCATGTGTTTGTTTATTTTGTAAAATATACAGGAACACCCTTTCATTTTTACTTTTCCTTCTTTCATTACGGATACCATAGACGCTCACGAGAATTCCGCCCTTCCAAATTGCGCCTGTTGTCTTTCAAATAATTCATAAACTCTGAACATGCTTTCCTTTAAATTCAAACACAGCCCAGGCAAAGAAAAAAAAAGGAAAATAAAATAAATCGAGTCCCCGAGTGTGAGGTAAACCGGCCCATTGCCTACTGGAACATGGTGCCCCCTGTATTAAACCTATGAGAACGAAATAATTCACTAGTCACCGGGGTAACGTCTTTCCACGCCCATTTCGCCTCCAAATCATGTGTAAACGATGATGGGTTAAATCATTTTTTTCCCGAGGTTTTTTAAAGTGTTGGATATAAATAAACATGTATGTGGAACCTGAAACGCTATGATTCAAAATAATTTAATTCACGGTTTGTAATAGTCCGTCGGATAAAAGCCTTGATATGAAATATTGTAGCAATAATTATGTAGAATAATTAAGCCTACATCTGTATCGAGAACTAATAGGGAACTGTAATTATGAACTCACTATGTTTGGTAGTTAACATATTAATATCTTTTCCTGCCTTAAACCAAATTCAAGAGCTTTTATACACATGGAAGACCATCTTTTATTGATGTTATGTAGCAGGAAACTTAGTTTTCTTCTTCTCCATAGTACGAAACAGAAAGTGCGGTACTCAAAGAGAAGGAGAGAGAGCAGGTGAACGAGAGAGAGAGAGAGAGAGAGAGAGAGAGAGAGAGAGAGAGAGAGAGAGAGGGAGAGAGAAAGCGAAGAGAGGGGGGGGGGGTAGTGCTACGTCTTGATGAATGAAAAGTAAAAGGGAAACGTATAATGGTCATCGCTCAATGTTGGTCGTAATCGAATAGTAGGCCTACATGAAAACAGTCATGATTAATGATAGGGGTATATACAGTTTCAGAAACATAACATATGGATGGCAGGTCTGAGGGAGGAAGAGAGAGAGATGGAGAGATAGAGAGAGAGGGAGAGAGTGAGAGAGAGAGAGAGAGATATGGAGAGAGAAAGAGAGAGAGAGAGAGAGAAATAGA